TGAATGGCTGGCAGGGAGGTTTGGAGCAGGCAATCCCAGGGACATTGCTCTGTGTCTTGGAATGCCCATCGCTTTGTGTGAATGGCTCACCTCTTCCCCAGGTGCTTGCTTCTGCCCCAAAGTGCACCTGGTTGGATGGGGACAGGCATGGAAGGTGGGGAGTGGTGCCCTGTGGGGTATGTGGCACCAGAGAAAAGCTGACTCAGGACTGGTTAATGATGGCAGACCCTACGGCTACAAAGATTGTATAGAACACCCCCTAAAATGTCATTATTTTCAGAGAAATCAGAGGCCCAGCGAGAAAAGGTGGCTTCTCAAGATCCCTCTGTGAATGACTCCAATGATCCCACCATTTCACATCACAACCATCTCACCAGCAGACACACAAGGGTTAACTGCCCCTCACAAAGCGGCAACCATGTAACTGATTGCTACCAGCTGAAAGGAGAGCCAGCCTGGCTAGAAACCACAGACAGACAAAATGCAAAGTTTTCCCACAGCTCTTTCTCCTCTGTACATGGCCTCAGGCTGTTTTCCTACTACCAGTTCTCATTCCCTTAACCCTGAGCAAGGTGAAGATTTCAAACTTCCCTCCTCACAGGGGCCCAGTCATGGCCAGGGCAAATCAATATCTGATAAGCAACCCAATCATTCCAGTTGAAACACTGATCAATGGCTGAATGAATAACTGGAAATTCACAAGTCAGTAAAGAGCTGATCCATGCACAAATCCAGGAGTGAAAGCTGCCGAGCTTCACGCAGGGGCCCCTATCAGGGGAGGTGGGCGGGGAGGCAAAGCAGCAGTCACCCTGAGCAGGGTCTTAGGAGCCCGAAGCATGAAGGATGGGCTCTGAAGATCAGAAGGCAGCTCTAGCACCAGCAGCACAGCTGGGACTCTGAGAACCCACAGGGGCAGGCTCCGGGGAGAGCTGGGGTGCAGGGGGTTCCAGAGAAATGCTCTGCGACTTCCTTCTGCTCGCTTCACTCCTTGACAGTCATCCAACTGCTGGAAAGCCCAGCTTGCCCCTGGGACACTGGGCAGTAATTTCATATTAGGAAACGGTAGATAGGAAGCCAGAGAAACTGAGGAACATAAAGGGACAGCCCCCACCATGTATTCGCTTGTGTCTGGCTCTGTGACTCCCACAACCAGGTGTGGAAACAGAGCTTTTGTGGTTTCAAAGGCCTACAACTAAATGAGTAATATCAAGGGTTCCGTGCTTGTCACTGTGCTATACACAGTCCCCACCCGACAAGGACAGCTGACCGAGGACGCTCTTAATCCCTTCAAAAATAGATATAAACACTGTGTCAAAGGAGCAGACTCGTGTAAACATGCAGCCTCTTGAACCCTCTGTTCAAGGTGAGCTGTTGGGGTCACCTGCTTTCTTCCCCATGCAATCAGGACACTTTCACAAGATGATCCACAGGCTCTTCCCTCCTGGCCTCTTCTAGTAAGGCAAATTCTACCTTTGAGCTGTATTTCCCATGGCCAGGGACCTGGAGGAGAAGCAGGACTGTCTGAAGTGTGACTAGAAATCAGACATCAGGGCCAAAATGACTCTCAAAGACCATCCAATACCACCTCCTTTTACAGGCTGGGAAACGAGTTCAGGCAAGGAAAGCCAATTCTATGATTACCTGAAGGCAGCAGCTTGGAGCAAAATGTTGAGAAGGAGTCTAAGACCAAGCAGGAAAGACGTGCGTGACTGAGGACCGGCTGGCGATGACTGCTGTGGATGGCAGGGGGAGGGCTGGCGTCCCTGCCTCAGCTCAGCCAGGCCTTGACCTCCACCCCTTCATAGGGAGTCAGTGCAAATTAGAAAAAGATGCCTCTTCCAGGCAGCATATAGCTTGACAAGCAGCAGGTGAGCGGATATCCATCCCTCCCCACTGGGGGCTCGAGTACCAGGCCAGCTTAATACACAAGGCACACCTGAGTGTAGTGTCCTTGAGGTAGGAGGCCCTTGAGCTATTCAACTTTTCTTCAGGCCCCCTCTATTGATTTGTCATCTGTTAACACAGAAATATTTCTTGATACCAAAGGAGGTCATAAGCCTTCCTTCTCTCTTTCATGCAGAGAAATCAGTTCTCAAGAGGGAAGGCATACTCAAAGGTCGGCAGGTGATGATAAAGTGATGCATTCATCCGTGCCCAAAATTCTGCACAAGGGGCCGTGCTGCCCCCACCACACCCAGAGCCCCATCTCTCTTTGCTTTCACAGTTTGTGTTCCTAAAGAGGCAAAGGAAAACTATTCAACCACGTAGACTCCAGGTTTTCTGTATCATCCCTGGGCGTGGAAACCTTCCCGAGGCCGGGGGAAGACCACACTTGCATCTAGTTTTATGCACTTCACAGGTGTTCATGCAGTTAACCAAGCTCCCCAGACCTGTTTCTCATCCTGGAATCCCAATCACGGTAATGGGCAACCAGCTCCCTAAACAGAAAGCGCCCTGGAAGACCCCTGGATCCCCCTGCACCCCAACTCTGGAGGCTACCACTCATCTAAAGTCCCGCTCCCACACATCTCCCACCCTCCTCCCTCACTACCACCATCCTGGCTCAAACCACTTCCCCAACTGGCCCGTCTCCTCCCGCCTTACTCGTCCCACCATGCTGTTTTCTGAAGGGCCTTTCAAAACCACCCAAGGCTCCTTGCAGCCTTCAGAACAGGGCCAGCCTCCATCAAGTCGGCCTCAACTTGACTCCGTCCATCAACCCGGACCACACTCTTCAGCCAGGCCCAGCACACAGCGCTCCCTCATGTAGCAGCGGAGTGACACCTCCAGTGTGTGCTCACCGCCTCCCTCGGCCAGAATGTCCTGTGCCGCACCAGCGGCTCAATCCAACAGGTTATCCAAGCCCAGACAAGCCAGCCAGGGGAGTCTGCAGAATGCAGGCTAAGGCTGCAATGTGGGAACAACATGGTATGGAAACCTGATAGGGTGTCCTTCACACCAGGCCTTCTACCTGTCTGGACTCTTCTCCGACTCCTGACTCCAATTCCCCTCTATAGCAATTACCTGTTATGCATCTGTCTGCCACCCCTCGAGACTGCCCTCTTGGTAGGAGAGAGAGCATCACCTTCCTCTGGGTGTCCCCATAGCCAGCTGGGTCAGGCTTAGGATATGGGTTGAGGGGAAAACCCAGGAGGTGCCTTGAGTTCAGGCTGAGCTCCCTGTTGGCTAGGTCCATGTTGCTCCTGGGGTCCATGTCCTCAACAGAGGCCAACTGTGTCTCTGGTATATGCAGGGAAGAGGCAGGGAGGGTGTCAATGCCCCTACAGGGTCTGACTTTTGAATCAGACATGCTGCCTTTACATAGAGCTAAGTGTCTACAGGCTTACCTAATACAGAAGGGGAGAAAAGAGGTGTTACTTAGTGAAGTCTCACAGGCCCACTTTCACGGGTTAAGGCCACCAAGGGGGACAAAATAGATCTAACAGGTGGCCTGAGCTGCCTACAGTGAGTAAGGGTGTGGACAGGTCGAGCCTGCTCTCTGGGTCCACACCTTTCAGAATCACAAGCCCCACGGAACCATCAGGATAACCAAGGTCTGTGGGAGCGAGGCCCCATGCACTACCCCTACGGCTACCATAGAAAACTGTGCACCCTTATCGGGAAAAGTTTTTGGCTCCTCATCCCCCATATATGTAAACTATTTACAAAGCTTTACCATCAATTCGTACATGAAATATTAAGTGTTATGAAGTGTATGCCCACTTTGAAGTACTAATTCTCAGTCCCTCAGAATGTGATTCTGTTTGCAGGTAGGGTTTTTAAAGAGGTAATTAAGTTAAAATGAGTTCATTAGGGTGAGCCTTAATCCAATATGACTGAAGTCCTTCTAAAAAGAGTAGAAACAGAAGGAAGACCCTGTGAAGACAGCCAGCTGCAAGCCAGCAGAGGCCACCGAAGAAACCGGCCCTGCCAACACCTTGATCTTGGACTTTGGGGCTCTAGAAAGGAAAGGAAAGAAGTGTCTGCTGCTTAAGCCACGCGGCCTGCGGTACTCCGTTATGGCCTAAATGGGCCTTATATTTTTTTTTTTCACACCCTACCTTGTAGACTACTGTCAGGAGGAACCTATGGCCCTGCTGGACTCTATAGGCCACCGGCTAGAGACAATGAGGGATCTGGCAGCCTCCCCCGTGGGCCTGAGAGTATCTGGAAGAAACCTGAGAAGGCAGAGACCCCAACACTGGAGGGACAGTAGGATTTGCCACAGGCCAACCCTTGGACGGAATACCCCTCTCGCCAGTGTTTCCCAAGCTCGCCCAATCATAACAATCACCTGGGGTACCTCTGCGCCACCCTGGGAGTTACGCGATGGGGCCAGGAACTTGGGTTTTGTTAGGTGAGCCAGGACCAGAAGCGTTTCAGGAACCGTAGTGCCACTCATGCCACCCCAGGAGATGGATCTGTCGGCGCAGTGTGCGTGCCCGGGCATCCCTATCCGGCAGAGGGAGGAAGGGAGGGACCGAGGCCTGGAACACGGCGCAGTGGGTCTACCGCCGCCCCCGCCACTCCACCTCCAGCCCCGCCGAGCCCTCCCCCTCCCGCGGTCCGGCCTCGAACGAAAGCAACTGGGTCCCGCTGTTTCTGTCACTGCTGTATTTGCCCATCTATGTTTTGCGTCCGGCGTTGGTTCTCTGAACCAACAGGCGGATGGAAGAAATGCCTTCTGGTTCCAACGCGAGTTACTCTGCGAAGTCCCAGACGCCCTTGTTTTCCTCCAGGGTGTGGCCCGCTCGTGACTCTTCTCTCAGGCTCTGGAGCCTTAAATTAAACCCAGGTTCCCCGCTCCCACCAAAGTCGGACCAGAGGGACGGCCACCACCCCAGGGTCTGTGCGCCGAGTGCCGTGGGGAACGCGGTGTGCGGGTCGCCGGGCTCCCGCCCTCCCTCGGGTTTACGCGCCCCAGCTCCCCGCTGACTGCAAGTTCCTCCCAACCTCGAAAGGCCTCTGCCCACCTCCGACCCCCGCCCGGCTCAGCTCACCCAGGCTGGCAGGTGCAGGCCCCGGAGCTCGCGGCTGATGAACTCGCGTTCATTGTCGAGGAATTCGAAGGCGGCGGCCAGACGCCCGAGCTTCCCACGGCGGTTCCTGCGCCACCACATCCACAGCAGGGTGCCGAGCAGCAACCAGGTTATGCTGAGCCCCAGGTAGCCGGCCAGGTAGACAGGTCCCAGGTAGAACAGCACGCGCACCACGAAAGTATAGAGCTGCGGCAGCAGCTGGCTGGACAGGCGCAGCTCGGGGCCCGGCGCGCGCTGGGCTCCCGGGGCACTGGGGGACTGGGGGGCGCAGGACTCCTCCGCTCGCATCTCGTCGCCGCCGTCTTGCCCTTCCCGAGAGCTTCACCCGAGCTTAGGTCCGCATTCCCCGACGCCCGGGCGCATCTGTCTCCCAAGCGCGAGGACCAGGCCGCGCCTCCTTGCTGCGCTCCGAGCTCAGCGTTCTCTGCGGCTAAGCGTTCTCGGCACACTGGAGAGCAGCGCCTGGAAACGCACGGAGCCGCGCTCGGCTCCAGTGAGCCCGCCGCTCCGGAAGTCTCCGCCCCAGGGGGGCGGGCCGCCGGCCTGGCTCGAGAGCCGCCAGCAGGTGAGCTCGATCTCCGACCCCAGCTTGCGGCGCAGGCGTCAGGCGGAGGTGCGCACTCGCCGGTCTGGGTGGACCAAGTGCAGCCCTAGGTGGTTGATGACTCACCGAGGCCTGTGTACAACTGGCTTATCATGGATAAACATCACCTAAAACCTGTTTCCTACACGCAGTCTATAATACACAGCACTACACAGTGCAGGCTGGACTCAGCCGGCATTCGAGGCCCTCCCTCGGCAGGCTCAGCCAGGCCTCCCCAGCCTCAGATCCTGCTTCTCCGCCCTCCAACTGGCCCCTAGAGCCTGCAACGCTGCCAGCTCCTCTGGCATCTGTAAAGCTTGGACCTAGCCCCCAGCCTCATCGAGCTGAGCTCAGGGTCCCTCCTGCCCGCCACAAAACCCTCTGCCCGGCTCTTCCCACCCTCTCTGCGAGGTGTCAGTTTGGATTGTCATTCCCGGCATCATCAGACCCGGAACTTCCCGGGGCCGGCCCGTCCTGGCCATCTGTGGGGCGCCCAACAAGGGCAAGTGACCGGTGAATAAAAGGAGAGATGAAGAGGAAGCCCCGAAGTGCGTGACAGTCGACGGCAAAGCCCATGGTTTCTAGCCCTTGAACGATCAGAGCAGGTGGAGCTCCGAAGCGCTTAAGTTCTGATAGTAAATCATCTTGTGGATAGCATATATTTCAGGCGACCACATGAAAGGACTCATATCAATTACTGGAATGTGATTTTGGAGTTGACAAATGTATAGGAATGATTTGGAATGACTCTCTATCCTTTCAACAGCTTTATCGAAAGGCTGGAGCCGATGGATGGCAATCATTAAGACAGCTGTATTCTCTTCTTTTTCTCCTTCTTTCTCTCTCTACCCCCACCCTCACTCTCTCTCATTCTCATTCTCTTTCGCACTTGTTCCCTCTCTTTTTCTCTGTCTGGTTTTATCCCTCTCTCTTGGATAAACTTAACGCAATGAATTTTTTCAACAATGAGTGTGTTTTTGATGGTCAGAATACCTGGACCCTTCTCTGTTGTTCTTGGCTTTCCAGGACTCAGCCAAAACAGAGGCTGAAAGTCCCCCAACTTAACTTCCTGTAACACAGGCAGCTCCTAGTGTAGCCTGGGAAATCAACAGAAGAAATGCTGCTTACTGGAGTTCCTTCTAGAGAGTTGCATGTACACAGTCCTATTAAAGGCTCTGTGAAGTCCTTCAAACAGCTATTAAATTCTATTTAACCCAGTGCTTCCCAGATTATTTGACCACAGAATTCTTTCCTGAAAATACTTCTCTGTTGGTTGACCCAGGTCTGCTGAAGCAAAAGAGAGTGTACGATAGTGATGCTGGGAATTCTGGAATCTGAGGCCGAATGTGGCTGCTCTCAGGATGGACGGACCAGGAAGCTCATTGGCAGAACTGCGCTCCTCATCCTTGTGTCCCTCCCTGCTGACCTGCCTGGCTGGCTGAAGTGCAGAACAGACTTTCTCCCAACATCCAGAGCTGCAGGACACAGGTCTCACCAATCCAGAGAGACGGCCTTGACCCTGTCCCAATTTCAAATCCCTTGAAGAGGATACAACTGAATCTATCATCCCTTTCATCCTTCACAGACAGCAGGTCCACACCTCAAACCCCATGTGAGTTAGTTTGGGAGAGGGTGTGGAAGGTAGTGAGTTTGTGGGGGGATTACTAGAGAAAAGAAGGTTGGTTGTTTGTGAACTGGATGGAAACCCACTGCCACAGATGCCCAGCCTGAGACCTGCGGGACATTGCCACCCCCAGCTGCATCGCCTTTCTGTTCCTTGAACACGTCAAGCTCATTTATGCCTCAAGGCTTTTGTGCTTGCTGTTCTCTCTACCTGGAATGTTCCTCTTCTACAACTTCTCCAAAGTATGTTAGGATGGTGGGATTATTACTACATTTCCCCCTTTTTAAATGTATTTTTAAATTTTTATTTATTTGCTTTTTGAGATGGAACCTCACTCTGTTGCCCAGTCTAGAGTGCAGCGACGCAATCTCAGCTCACTGTAACCTCTGCCTTCAGGGTTCAAGTGATTCTCCTGCCTTAGCCTCCCAAGTAGCTGGGATTACTGGCACCTGCCACCATACCCAGAAAATTTTTGTATTTTTAGTAGAGACGGGGTTTCTCCATGTTGGCCAGGCTGGTCTTGAACTCCTGACCTCAAAGTGATCCACCTGCCTCAGCCACCCAAAGTGTTGAGATTATAGGTGTGAGCAACCATGCCTGCCCCCCCCTTTAAAAACCTTATTTATAATGTCAGTAAAATACTCATAAATTAAATATATGAGAACATTGAGAATATGACATTGAAAGCTCTCTAATCTACCTGAGATGGAATCTGTGCCTAGAATATTGGAGCCTTTATTTCCCTTGATCTGGACATCTAGTTACTACAGCCAGCAAAATAATATTTGTTGAGTGGTTTAATCACAGCCAAACCTGGGGAGAATGATGCCTTTGCCTGAACACATTTGAATGTGCATCCTATTACATACTAGCTGTTTGAAGCTCAAATAAATATTCATTGGTCACTACTGTGGATTGAACTGTGTCTATGTTGAAACCCTTGGTACCTGTGGGTGTAATCTTATTTGAAGTAGAGTCTCTGGGCCAGGCACAATGGCTCACACTTGTAATCCCAGCACTTTGGGAGGCCGAGGCAGGTGAATCACCTGAGGTTGGGAGTTCAAGACCAGCTTGACCAACAAGGAGAAACCCCATTTCTACTAAGAATACAAAAAATCAGCTGGGCATGGTGGTGGGTGCCTGTAATCCCAACTACTCAGGAGGCTGAAGCAGGAGACTCGCTTGAACCCAGGAGGCGGAGGTTGCAGTGAGCTGAGATCAAGCCACTGCACTCCAGCCTGGGCAACAAGAGCAAAACTCCGTTTCAAAAAGAAAAAAAGAAAGAAGAAAGAGTCTCTGCAGATGTAACCAAGTTAAGATGAGATCATATTCAATTAGGCTGGACCCTAAATTCAATGACTGGTGTCCTTATAAGAAAAGAGAGATTCGGAGACGGGGACACAGAGGAGACACAGGAAGGAAAGGCCATGTGAAGACACACATAGAAACCAGAGGGGTACAGCTACAGGGCAAGGAACGTCAAGCATTGCTGGCACCCACCAGGAGCCAGGAAGAAGCAAGGAAGGATTCTTCCCTAGAACATGGAAGAGAGCTCAGCCCTACTGGCCTCCAGAACTGTGAGAGTAAAATCCTCTTGTTTTAAGCCATCCAGTTTGTGGCACTTCATTACTGCAGCCCTAGGAAATGAATACAGCCTTCTACTGAGTGCCAGGCACCGTTCCAGGCATACGAGATTCAGGGTAAACAGAACAGACAGGCTCGTGGCTCTCATACAGCTGACGTTCTAGTGTAGGAAGACAGACACCAACATTTAAATAAAGAGCAAGAAAACAGCAGGTCAGGAAAGGTGCTCTGCAGAGAGTGCAGTGAGTAGGCTGAGAGAGAGTGACTGGCGTGGGGAGAAGGGCTGTTTTAGCCAGATTGATTTGGAAAATTAGGTTGAGACCTAAATTTAAAAGATGGCCAAAGTGTACATACAACTTTACTATTCTTCTTCTTCTTCTTTGAGACCGAATTTCACTCTCGTCAGCCAGGCTGCAGCCACAATTTTGGCTCACTGCAACCTCCGCCTCCTGGGTTCAAGCGATTCTCCTGCCTTGCCTCCCCAGTAGCTGGGATTACAGGTGTGTGCCACCATGCAAAGCTAATTTTTTTCTATTTTTAGTAGAGACGGGGTTTCTCCATCTTGGCCAGGCTAGTTTCAAACTCCTGATCTCAGGTGGTCTGCCTGCCTTGGCCTCCCAAAGTACTGGGGTTATAGGCAGAAGCTACAGTGCCCAGCCTAATTATATTATTTTTTTTAATTTAGTATCTCACAAATCATCTCCCCTTTGGAACAGAAAGATATATGTCCTCTGCTATGTAAGTGTCATTAGTTTTTTGTTTGTGTTTTATAGGAGTGGAGTCTCACTCTTCCCCAGGCTGGAGTGCAGTGGTGTGATCTTGGCTCACTACAACCTCCGCCTCCCAGGTTCAAGCTATTCTCTTGCCTCAGCTTCCCAAGTAGCTGGGATTACAGGCATGCACCACCACGCCCAGCTAATTTTTTTGTATTTTTAGTAGAACGAGGCTTCACCATGTTGGTCAGGCTGGTCTCGAACTCCTGACCTAGAATGATCCACCTGCTTCAGCCTCCCAAAGTGCTGAGATTACAGGTATGAGCCTCCATGCCCACGGGTGTCATTAGTTTTATTTATTTATTTATTTTTCCATACAGAGCTAGAGAAATTTTCTGTGTCCCCTCTGTTAGACTGGGTATTCTTTGAGAGAAGCCGCTGTATCTCATATATCTTTCTGTCTCAGTGCCTAGGTTCGAGCCTGACCTACAGGAAGAGGCTAGGGAGCATGGGGTAAAATCAGAATCTCTTGCATTTGTTTGGGTTTAAATTGAGACTCAAGTACTTACTGACTCTGGAACTAGAGAATGTGTTGTTCCGTTTCCTTATCTGTGAAATGCAGATCATAATATTTAAACCATAGGGTGGTCATGAGGACTGAGTCAGATGCAATGTGTGTAAGGCTGTATATCCAGATGGGGACGTTGTCAGAGAAGAACTGGGGTTTTGTTTGTCTTGTTTGACTTTTTACAACAAGAATGTATTTGTGTTTTACCTGTATAATTTCTTTTTTTTTTTTTTTTTGAGATGGAGTCTTGCTCTGCAGCCCGGGCTGGAGTCCAGTGGCGCAATCTCAGCTCGCTGCAACCTCCGCCTCCCAGGTTCTGGTTCAAGCAATTCTCCAGCCTCGTCTCTACTAAAAAAACTTTTTTATTCTTGCAAAATACATATAACGTTTACTATTCTAACCATTTTAAGGGTACAGCTCAGTGGTAATAA